TAATAAAAGATACATATCTGATTGTTAACTGCAGTTACTTTGGCAGAGATGCTATGGAGGAAGATGGAAAAGGAGATAGGAAATTATCTAAAAACAAGAAAATTACTGTAATATCAGAAAATCTAACTGCATTTATGCATTTTATATGCATAGAATGTCTCAGAGTAATCGACACTGACAAGTAATGTAAATGTGTTTGTTCTTTGGAATATATTAGGATTTTAATGAGAAGAATCACTGAAGACACAGAAAAAACAAATATAGAATGCAAATCAGTCGTGTTCATAATTTGTGACTGTAGGACATGAGAGTATAACATGAGAGTTAGAAATTAAGATTGGAAATAAGCTATTTGACCATGAATGTTCAGATACACTGAAAGAAATATCTGGTGATATATTAAAAAAAACCTTTTATCTAGATTCAGTTGTCATGAACAATACATAAAACAAGCAGACTGGGAATCACTATTTTTCATCAAATGTTGGAGGGTAGCTGTATGTTTTGTGTAGTTCACATACTAAGAGATTAAAGGGTTCTCTGCTTAGTTGTATTCTAGCAAACAGCTACAGTGGTATTCTGGTACTTCTTAGTCAGTTCAGGGAGGCAGGATAAATACCAAAGACAATAAATATAAATACCAAATACTATTTGTGCTAGAAAGAGTAGTAAGTCATGAGAAAATACACAAGGACAAGTTGTAGCTCATATGACAAGAGTACCAAAGGATAAGTAATAGAACAAAATTTTAGTGTCAAAAAACATCAAGTACCAAACAAGATGTGTTTCAAAGCAATCAGGTAGCAAGGCATGACTGTGCTTCAGAAAATGAATTATGAATAATTATGAACCTTTCTGCAGTAAATTGCCTAATTTGTGGATTTCTTCCTGAATTTGTTAATATGTGAACTTCTACCCTGAGTTTTAGGTTTGGCCTTTGTGCAGTGACAAAGCCTTATGACTGCTGAGGCCAGGAGAGTCATTTGTGTCTACAGTGTTGCCCACTCTCTGCTGTGTCCTCCTTTAATTCGCTGGAATCTAAGAGATTCTGTGACCATGGGGATTAATCTGGAGGCCTCAGCTGACTTGAAAGTAAAATTTGAATTTCTGAAACTTTTGAAATTGAACTTAAAATAAGTCTCCCAGAAAGAAGCAATATAGTGTTAAAAGGATTTGGATATTCATGGAAAGAAAAATGAATCCATTTAAGAAGTAAATGATGAAAATTAAAACACAGGCACACGTGATTAGAATGAAAATGACTTCCATGTTTATGTTTGTCAGCAATATAGCTATTTACAAATAATCCATATGAAAATGTAAAAAAAGCATATTACATCTTCACATGCCATCTGTCTGAACTGAATAAAGCTTAGTGATGTTATTTGCAAATCTGTACTTAATTGTACGTAGACATTTTGTGCGTTAAAAGAAATGTACATAATTCGAAATAAATTACATTACACAATTTACAAAGTAATATTAAAAAAAATTTATAGACAGCTGCCCTCTTATTTAAACAAAATAAATATTCAGGTAGTTAAATTAACAAAAAACACACATTTAGGAGATTATGATTCCCAGAAAGATAGATTGCAAATTTAATAAATTTATATTTTACAATGACAAACACTGATCTCTTCAAATTGCTGATTAAAATGAGCAGGAAATAGTACCAGAAAGGAAATCTAAATGATTATTTTCTAAAAATGAACACAAATAGATCCCTGAAAAAATGGCTAGAAAAAGTATAAATCAATAAATGTTTAACAGTAGGTAATCTAGAAACTATTACGAAAAGGAAAAAATCCTACAAAACACAACGACAGAACTAACAATAATAAAACTTAATTATATTCTAAATATAATAAAGATTTTTGATCACCAGAAACATAACTGTCATGAACTACAACTCTTCATATACTGCCTGGCTTATGTTCCGTTTTGGTAGAAGCACAAAAGACCAACAAAAAACAAAACAAAAACCCTGCAAAATTAACTATTCATTCAGCATTTGCTTAATTCATTTAATAATGTAGACATAATAATTTTTCAGTGTACCTGCTAGGTATAGATTTATCATACCACACTGCAAAACAGTCTTTTCCTAAAAGAAGAACCATTTGGGAGGCCCACACTTGAGTTCCAAGTGCTGCGGTCTTGACTGCAGCCAGGGCTGTCTGAAAGCAGGATCAGCTGGGACTGTTGTTACCAAAACAGGCAGATGTGGTTCTCACATCTCAACTAGACCTAGGAAGATCATGCTCGGAAAGATTATTTACAAATTTCTAAAAAATTTGTCCTTCTAATACCCTCAACCTTAGAGAGGAAATAGGACGAAAAACATATTTGGATTTGGCAATACTTTTACAAGTAGGGAACCCCAGATCATTTGGTAGACACGATTCATGCAAATCTGTGAAGATCCCAATCATCCTAGGAATGGGCTTTCCTTTCTGTACAGTATTGAAAGGTACAGGCCTCCTTCACCATCTTTCAAAGTGGGAAGTAAACAACAATACAAGATGGATAGATAAAAAGATACTGGGTAGTAATAAATCAAGTGTTCATTTGTTTTGGAGTGCCCTCCACATCTTTCCTTTCTCCTTTAATTATTTCTTTGACCAATGCATTCTGTCTAAATCAAGTTGTTCATACTCTGACACTTTGAGTCCAATAGGAAGGCAATGTAAATATTCTCTATTATTTTTCTTACATAAATTTGAGCACATTTAATGAAAGGTAATTCTGAGGGAAGTAGACAAGAGTAGCCATTGCTAAGACAGTAGGGGTAGAGAGAAACCAGGCAGAGAAAATCAGCATTAGAGGACCACAAATAAGATTATTTGGAGGAGGTAAATAAATGTATGAGAGGTGCTATTTGCTCCCTGTAAGAAGAAGTGACTTTCTCTTGAAATGTCCAGTAATTTAACAGATATTTGATTAAATCACAAATATCACACATAAAGGAGGAGTAGGGAAAATACTAAACTCCTCACAGCATGGGCTAGGACATTTGTGTTACATATGGAAAAATACTAATCAATTTATAAACAAGTCTAGAGTAAAGGGCAATGCATTTAAGTGCTATTATCACTCCTTAAGCCTTTTCTTTCTTTTGAATGTCTTAAGCATCTATTTATACAAAAATCATTACTAATTTTTATAGTGCCTAGCAGAGTGGCTTACATGTGATAATTCAATAAATATTTGTTTTGTTATAAGTAATTTGTGCTTTGTTATAAGTAAAGACATGCTTTTATGGAGTCCTTTCTTTTTACACTGCAGCATCTTCAAAAAGGTGTTAAAAAGAATTATGGTTAAGGTATTGGATTAAGTATTGATAAATAAGCAAATCAGTCCCTTTCATGAGGGATCAGTTATGCCACTTCTATATAGTTCCAACTGAAACAGTCTAACAAAACCATATAACACAGAGCCCAATATTTTTTCTTTTCTTTTTTATACTAAGCAAACCTTCATACTTACACAATAGTATTTCTAAATCCTTTTGAGCTCCCAGACCATTTTGGTAAGGCAAAATTTAAATAGTCAAGTTACTACTATGTTCTTGTACTGAATTTGTAGAATGAACAATAAGAGTAATGTTTTGATGAAATTCCAGTGAAGTACTTAATGGATGATGGACTCTTGCCAGGAACAAAAACAAGGCTATTCTCATGTTATAAATATGAATATAATAACCTCCCATTCATCCAAACTAGCTAAATAGCTACATTGCCTCCTTCCAATGTTTGTAACATGATAACATCAAGTACTGACTTATCCCCAAAATAAGCCTCCAATAGGTTCCCAGTGTTAAGTTGCATTGACTATAACCTCTCCATGTGAATAGAGTGCTACAAAATGTAACTAATTTATGAATAAAAGCATCTTATATTTTCATAACATTTTATAGTTTTTGATCTCTAAGCTCATTTAATTCTTATAACACAGGTCAGATAAAAGTGATCTGTCTTCCAAATCAACAGCATTTTTAAGATCCTAAGCATAGCTTTAATTGGAATAATATTTTATTCCATTGTACATTTCAAATTATTAGGTGTTGCACACATTTCATAAGACATAATTTTTCAAGTAACTGCAATAGATTCTCAGCCATTCTGAACAAATGAAGTTTATTTTATTCAAAGAGATCAACTTGAGAGTTGTCTGGAAGGCCCCTGAATATACACATTGACAATCAAGTTTAGAGTAATAATAATATTTTTTCTTTCTCTTCAATAAAAGAGATGAAATGGATTTTGTTTTTCCATTTTTTTCTTGATTAATTCCTTGGCTTAAAGTAAAATTCTCATGTTTCTGACTACCTGTTCTCTTTGAAATGATTTTCATTGCCTAATATATTGAATATTAGATAAAAGATAAATGTTTACCATATTTATTTCTTACTGAAATAGGTAGAAATATTTTTATTTTAGAGCTACTGACATCCTAAGTGATGTTTTTTAGTCTTTGCAAATATTTTAACTGGCAGCAGGGGGAGTTCAAAATCTACTGTGTACTCTGTGAAGGTAAAACAATTTAAACCTCTTCCGCAGCAACACAGCTAAGTTTAAGATAAAATAATTTGTTCCTACTTTTAAAAGACCTGAAAACCTCAAGTTCTTTCCTCCCAAAGATTGTTGTAATAACTGTTGCCTGAAAAATGACATTGCTTTTTAATGACCTTTCAAACTTTCTCTTGAAATGTCCAGCAACTTAACAGAGATTTGATTAAATCACAATGACCATGCCTAAAGGAGGAGTAGAGAAAATACTAAACTGTGACCATCTCTAGGGACTTCCTTGAAAAATATAGCGACTTTCAAAGCAATGGTAAATTTAATGCCTGGATTTTCACTTTTGAAATTAAGCTCTGGTGACAGACAAATGGTAAATAAATGAAAACCAAAGATGATACAGTGGAGATTAGCATTAAAGAACATCGAGAGAGAGGGTCAGCAAACTGGAGGATGTACATGTGGCCTGCTTGCTGCTTTTTTGTAAGTAAAATTTAACTGGAAAGCAGTCATGTTCATTCTTTTTCTTACTGCGCATCATCTGTGCCAACTTTATACATGACAGAGTTGAGAGGTTGCAACACAGACCAAGATGGAAATATTTACTATTTGATTCTAAAGAAAAAATGTTGACCAACCTTGGTGTAGATACATAATGAAGTCCTGGACAAGATACTCATTCTTCCTTTTTCAAATTTTAGTTTTTGAAATCATATATTTAAAAGACTGCTTCAAATTTAACCAATGAGAAAAACAAAAGACTATGAGATTTTGAAATAATGCCTGCAGGACAGACTTTGAATCTAAAACTGAGAAACAAATCAGGGAGAAAGAAGAATCAACACATAATTTTGGCTTCTTTTAGTTATAAAAATCATTGATACGTTATTTTTCCATCTGCTTGAAATTAAAAAGACAACCAGTTCCTTTTTTTCTTTTCTTTTCTTTTTTTAACAAAGATAACAAATATAAAAATCTAGTCATAAACAGCCTTCAAAGAACAATTACAAATCAACTAGAGGGATCCACCTTTTGAGGGTTCATGGGCTGGGGACCTTAACACTTAGGTTACAACCATGTTGCCAGTTTTGCAGTGGCTGTGTTGAGGAGGAAGAGTGCACACAGCAGGTGTCATAGCTGATTCCATCCTGTTGCCATTCAAACTGAACTCCATTCTCTTCAGGGTACAAGAAATTGCAAATGTCTCCAGAACCCTCTTGGCACAGATGTCTTCATACCATATGAAAAGAGGCAGTTTCTATGGCAATACTGGTTAAGTGCCCATCATGCTGCACTAATATAGTGCAAAAATGTGCCTTCAATATAGCAAAAGATGTAGGCAACCAGTTTGAAAATTAGGGAAAGTAGAAATCTATTAACACAAACAAATTAGTTTTCCAGACAATAACTACTATAAAATACCGAAATCGAGGACTCTTTCTTCTAAGATACTAGTACATGTCCAGCATTTGTATATTGTGGAAAGACAAGAATGAAGTCTTATAAAAGAGTCTTTGTCTTTGAAATGCAAGTCAATACATGCTACCCAGAACCACAAAGATGCTGACTTTATTCCATGGGGATTCTGCTCAGCTTGGAGCCGACCTTTTCTTCACTGTTACAGTTGCTTATTATCAAGTACATAATATGACATTATAATGAATACCATTCAGCTGAATATAGATGTTGTTATGTTTGACTATAGTACTGTAGGGATCTTGGTATAAACTCTTCATGCTAGAAAGTTCTGTGGGTTAAACACTGCAAACAGTCTTGCATCAGGCAACCCCATATGGCAAATTTCATCACTATTTTTTTGAGGTGAAAGTGATTTTTCAATTGGAAGATTTCAAGGAAGATGACATAAAACTCCCAAAATGTAGCATGTATTCAACTAAATCTAGAAATCTTAGAGTTGATGGTCTATGCGTTAAATGGTATTATCTTGAAGATTTCCAGTGGCAATGTGATTTTCACTCTTTCCTTCATGATGTTCTTTAAAAAAGTTAAAACGAATTATAATCCACAGTTTGGATATTGTCGTTGTGGCCCCTGGTTATCAACTACAAAGTCAGAAAGCCAAATTGGTTGTTGTCAGGAAAAGTTCTATTTTACATGTCTGCGTCTCCATCATAAGCTAAAGTTAAAGGTTTCAGACGGTTGTTTTGCCTTCTTTGGGGTTTCTTTGGCTTTTTGCTGTAAGAGATTCATTAAAATTGAGAGAGATAAAAATCAGTCTTTAGTTGTGAATTTTATTGTTTTAAATGAAAAGGTAAAAAAGTGCAAAACCAATTGATAGATCTAAATTGCTCACATCATCTAAATTTAACTTTAGAATTTGATTTTTCTTCTCTCTTTGAATTTCACAGTTTTGGCTCTGAAAAAGTTTTAAATAAACATTAAGTATCTTACTATCTTATTAAAAGACAATTTATGCAAGTGAAATTCCTCTAGTATTAACAACAAAAATGGTATTACAGTATAATAATTTGTATTTGGCTAGAAACCTTGATAAATTACACAGAATTTCTAAGCAATACATGTTTACGTAGTTGAGTAAGATTGTATGTTATTATAGTAGCATCCTGCAGTAGTAATTTACTATAAAAATGTACAGTTCATCACAGTCCATACAAAACAACATTCTTGGGCATATGTGCAAGAGAGTAAAGTTGGAAAGAAGACCTGGATAATCTGGCTCAGCTCCAGAAAGGAAACAGCTCAGATTTAGTAGTTTTTAGCAATCTAAGACTAATGCTTTATTTATTTAGAACTTCATGTGAATATTGGATAAATGTAGCCTATTTATTTCTCATATTAGTTTGTTGTTTCTATGTTTCAGGCAACTGAAAGTAATTTCTTTGAAATAGAGACATTATATTTCCCCTTAGAATTTAAAATATTTAAACACTCACCAAGCCAGATAAATCACGGAGACAATAAAGATAAGTAATACGAATGCCCCAGCTGCAACACCATAAACCCAGGTCTTTAGTCTTCCATCTAAGAAGAATGGATATTAGCTATTAATTCTCATTACTCTGGAATATATATGACAGTCTTTAACTATGGCCAATGACCAGATGCATATGACCAATGCCTTTGCAAAACTCAAAATAAATTATTTCTTCAGCAAGTTACTGATTAACACAAATTTACTATTACGAGTTAGATGCTGCTTCACTAATGATAAATTAGCAATGAAGATTAAATTGAAAAACAACAAGTAGATGTTGAGTTTATACCTAAACTTATGCTGCTTCTTGCCTGATTTTACTTCACATTTAATATATGTGTAATGCTATTTAAACATATTTAAACCTATTTTGAGAATGGAAAAATTAAAAGATGAAAAATAAATTTAAATAAAGTCCTACAATCCAAAGTTGATGCAGAAGGGTATTTGAAAACTATGTCATTTTAACATTTTTGTTCTACATGAAAGCAAAGTGAATAAACTTAACATATTTATTTTATAATTAATAATCTTTTATTGAATCTACACATATATTGCTCCTTAAGATTGGTTTGATAATATATTACCACTTTAAATAGCATGTACAAAGATTTTTAAATTTTAATTTTAATTTTCCCCCTAGTCTTCCTAATGTATGGAATCAATCATGACATGAATTATTCTAATTAATACAGTTTTTTGGTCTCATTCTTTTTAAACTTCTCAGTTAAATGTTTTGACTAAATTTCAAACACAAGATGCCTCTTAGTTGCTGTGTTGCCTAACTTAATTTGATGCTAACATTATCAGATATTTTTCTGTTGCCTACATACAATTAAGTATTTGATATCAGTATTAAAATTATGCACAGGGCAAAACTAGTTCCATAGAGAATGGTGATTATTCGATATTTTAAAGTCACCATCAGAAGCAAATTGGTATGGTATAGTTTGTTTGTTTGTTTGTTTGTTTTGTTCTGGAGCTGGATCAAGTTAGGGGTTTATTTGCTGGCAATACAATAAATTAATATTTCAAATATTTCTTTTTAATCCTGAAGATGTAAAAAAATTAGCTGAGTATAAAATAAAGAAAAGGTACTCTGCTTTTGGGGTTCTTTGTCCTAAAAATTCTTTAACAAATATTCTTTGGGTTTTTCAAAAAAGAAAGAATGTCTGCCATTTTTCAGAATATGCATCTTTTAAAAATATTAAAATTTTCACTTTGGGTAAACTATACATTAAATTAAAACTAATGGTTTTGATATGCAGAGATCTGCTTGAATTCCTGGTCACAGTCAAGATTGCATATGGCCATTTACTGGTTCACTGGTTACATAGACAAAGCAGCTCTGAAAAATGAATTCCATTTTCAGAAAAATAGAAAAACCTAATAAAAAAGTGGCTTTATCTTAACTTCTGTATAGTCTTTGGAGGAACATTTCATATATTTGACTTCAATTACAGACAGAAAATATGCAGAGTAAGGAATAGTGTTTTAGCAGGACTTCCAGCTTTTGCCTGTTCTGGCTTCCAGTCTACTACTAGAAACATTAGAACTACGTGCTTAATGTGAAAATCTTCTGGTTGGTCTTCAAGTTTGGATCATCCTATGTAGACAAGAAGGCTCAATCCCTGCCCTAATGAATCTGATACTAGTACAGATTTTGAGTTTTGTGAGTAAACCAGCTTTTAGGGTTGACATAAATTGTTCTGATGACCAAATGTTCCTGTCACAGAATTGCAACACTGAATTTCTACTTAAGGTTTAAGCTATTACCTCTCTGTGATCAAATTGAAAATTCTAGAATGTCTTTTCAGTCTTTTTTTTTTTTTTTGGTCCCAGTTGTGAATAAGAACATACCTTTTTTTACTAATTTATATTTTTGTCATTACATTTCTTTATTCAGTGCTCAATTAAATATACTTACAACTTTAGGACAGGGATTGAAATAAATGATATCAATCCTAAAAACTCAGAAGAAAGTAATTTCATTTCTATGAACTATGGGTGTGGGTACTCTTATACATAATAAGATACAAGAGTAGATGGAGATATTGGAATATGTGAATGTAAATGAAATAATAAACAGCTCTGTGAAAATACTTGCTTATTTAAAAAAATCAGTTGGAGGCATTGGCTAACTGTACAACTAAAGAATTGTGTGTTGGTACTCTCCAGTCATTTCACCTGGCCCAAATGGCTGTAGAAACCAAGTTCTTCCCCGTCCTGCTGGATTAATGGAGGGTTGGGTTGGATGTACTGCCCGACTGGTTTTCACATCTCCCCTCTTGTCTTCCACTGTGGGTATCACCACCACGGGAATAAGTGTGCACTGCTCAAGAGTGCTGTTGGAAGACATGACTTCAGTGTATCCTTCTTCGCAGTGGCATGTTTTTGTCTGCAGGAGAACATGAAGATTTACACCAAGGATGCAAGGTGATCTTTCTAAGTATAGCTGACCCTGCTTAAAAGAGAAAGCTTTAAAGAAGATTTTCTTTTAAAAAAAATTCAGCACATGTAATTTGTTTTAGCTACATTAAAAGAAATACGAACCTATCTTTCGTATTATGCAGTCATTTTAAAGGTAAATGCATTCTGCATTGATGTGCTTTTTTTGTAGGGGGAGGGGAAGGAACTGCATGAGAGGCAACAGGGCGACAATGCAGGCCTCTCATCCATCCTACTGGGTTTACACATACCTCACTACAGTACGAATGGGGTTGACTACACGGAGGGTTACAAGACCTGTCAACATCAGGCTGGCTCATCACCAGGCAGCCCCCTGCAGAACAGAAAACCATATTTTGACAAATAGCACCTCTTGCTATGATAAAATATGTCATTGTTATAGACTTGTCTTTGAATCTTCAACTCTGTGAATCTCAAGGATTTTTCTGTCTGTAAAATATTTGGTTAACTTTTACCATTTTACTTAACATCCTGAGGTCTTAGCCAGAAATGACAACACAATGCCTGAGACTTAGTAGGTATCAATATGCATTTGTCAGAAGGATTATTTTATAGCTTATATCTTGAAAATATTAGTTATACCCAACCCATTTCTGTTAGTAGTTCCTCAAGCCAAGCCCATCGATTGAAAAGCAGATTTAATTTTCTTTTAAATCAAAATTTTTACTTGATTATTCAATGTAATAGTTTTATGTCCCTTGAAATAACTCTTTAATTTATATGCCTACCACATAAATGTATTTTCATGTATTTCTTTATGAGAAATATCACTATTCCTATTAACTCAGGATATTTTGGTGGTATAGAGAAAAAAACAAATACAGGTATCAAGTTGTTTGCACTATTTTTAACTTTATATTATGAGTATTTATCCCTCTTTCCTTCTTTGTTGTTTTTGATTATAATGCCTTAGGTGTTGTAAGAGATGTTTTAAAATGTGAATAGATATCTTAAGAAACAACATTGGTAACATGGAAGGTACTCACACTTTCAAGCAATACTTGCTCATTTTAACACAATTTTAGCAAGAAAATTTTTTATTTGATAATGTTATTGATGATCCTCTGGATTTGAACAAAGGTGAAAACCATTAATTCTTGTATTTCAATATTATAAATACGAAATATTCATGGAAAAGTTGTTATGGAAAAGCAGTTGTTGCAAGGCAATTTTATGTTCAGTGGCTTTATAAGTCATCGTCATTAAACACATGAAAAACAGAGAACAATATCTAGAGTTTCTTATAACAACAATTTACAAATTAAAGTAACATCTATTTTGCATAAAGAATCTCATCTCTCTTTAAAGATGGTAGAAGAATGGATATAGAATGTGTAACAAATTATTTACACATTGGCTTTATGGTACTAGACAGTATTAGAAAGAAATAAATACATTGGATATACTATTAAAAATACAATTTCTTCAGGCAAGTCTTTAGAGTCTGACTTTGCATTGGGTGGAGCCCCGCATTTGTGGTGTGAAAGAGCCTTAATATGGACAAAGAAAGGTGACAAATGTTTTTTGCATATATATTTAAAAATGGAAAACTAAAAGGACCCTCAGGGTAAGCTAATTCCCTCAGAACAGTTTTTATTTTTTTGTACCAGGGATCAAACTCAGGACCTTGTGCTTGCAAGGCAGGTGTGGGCAGCACCACTGAACTAAAGCCCCAGCCCTCAGGGTAGTTTTTAAAAGAATGTTAATATTTATTGTCAATTTCTGAGTTGAATGGGTGACTTCTATGATGCCTTCTGATTCAGAAAGCCTGTGCATACCTGTTCAGGGCTCTTCTCACCATAGCCCTCTTAGAGTGGGGCTCAGATTTTTCTCCCCTTAAAAATGCTATGGAGAAAGCAAAGGCTCCTGATATGTGTCTTTCCTTTGTCACATTATGTATACACTAGGAGATACTGTTTTCAAGGGTTTTTTGTATTGCTTTCTCATGCGAAAAATTATGTCTTCACAGGAACAGAATGCGACATCATGTTGCAGCTTTCATTGGGAGGAAATAAATAATCCAGGTAATTTAAAATTAAATACAAAAATTGATGGTTTTTAAAAAGCATATTGATCTCGGATCAAATTATCTTACTGTATATATTAAAGTTAAAATTATAAATGGACATTCCTCAGGGGCATCCAAATGCTTGCTAGTTTTTTCTTTCTGCAGGAGGGTCAGAACAGCATCAAGTCAGGAGGTCCCTGCTCAATCAACTGTCAATACTCGTGCTTTCACTATGCTATGGAGATCCCTGTATGTTAGATCTATAAAAAGAAATTTTGGGATCTATGCATCCGAGGTTGAGGTTCTGGCTCTGACTATCACTTCTTTCTAGGAAACATGCAGAGTGATTCACTACATATCTAGTATTAAGTTTTCTTTCCCCTTTAATGTGTCCTTGGGAGCTCTTGCATTTACTGGAATCACATAAAGATACTTTTAGTAACTGCAGATTAGAGTAGCTCTTTGGAAGTATATTGAGGTCAAAGCAATAAAAAAACCTTGCATTTCTTCTTTGGAAGTATAATTTAGAGTGAAGACACAGTAAATGAGCTTTTCAGATGGTCTGGGATTAAGACTTATCAGTGAGTGTTACCTATTATTTAATAAAAATTCTCAGTCACAGATTTTTTTTAATTTAAGCAAGTTATTTGGATTTATACAATCACACATGTTTGGTGATATGTTTGGCTGGCATTTGTATAACCTTTAAGGGATACAGAAGAAATAGAAACATTGACTTTTAAAACATATAGTAGGTTGTTAATATATACAATCTATAGTACAATATGAAAATTACTTCTAATGATAATTTATTAGTTAGCATTTTCATTTAATAAATTCTAGCAGCAATATCTAAAGTGACTATGTGAGGCAGAATTTGAAACACTATAAAATAAACTAATTTGACACTGGTTACCAGATACAAATACAACTCAGGTAACCTGATCTCACACGTACATCGAAAGCTAAAATAATATTTTGGTTTCCTTCTTTATTTTATTTAGGCAATTACATGTGTGTTACATGACTACTTTCAAAGATCAAAGAGAAATTGGAGGTTTACCTGTTACGTTTTTGCCATCTGATCTTTGACACCAGACTGTCCGGGAGGAGCCCTTCCAAGCACTTGCCATCCACTTATACTCATAGCACTGTCCATCTGCAGGGAAGCAACATACATTAGCAGAAGCACTTGGGAGCCCCAGGAGAATCGTGGAGATAGAGGACTAACAAAATGCTTATGAACAATTGAAAACTGATAAATCCATTTCTGCAGATTCAAATGTCAATTTAGTGTCTGGAAGTTGCTATGCAAATGTTATAAAATTACACCTATACACCTAGATCCCAAATAATTTGCTATATCCGCTGTCACATGACCTTGTGGGAACCTGAGTTTATAATCTAATTTCATGGCTTGCCTTTTTTTATAGACCACATTTATTTAACAATAAAATATCTAGTTGTTTAACAAAATACTTTAAGAACTGCAGTCCAATTTTCAAAACTAAAGAACCAAAGTATTAAATAAATCACTTTATGGCACAAGACACCATAAACTTACATATGCAAACAGCAAGCAGATTTTTGTGCTAGAAAAATGAAAAAAAATTAAACTAAGCCAAAAATTCAAGGATTGGGAATTCAGAAATAGTTAACTGAGGCCTAGTAGGGACCTTTGAGCATCAGATTTTTTTATAAAAATGAAAACATCCCAAACATAGTAAAATAATTTTTAGTAAAACTTTTTTCCTATAATAATTGAAAATCTGCTGTTTGTTCCTCAAATTTGTGAAAAATAACTATTAATTTCTTAAAGTATTGATGTTACCCTTGAGAGGCTAATTCTGTTGCATTTCATTGTAGTGTTTTTCTTCAGTGAACCTGGGTCCGGTAATAGCAGACACTGAAACATGCTAAGATAAATATTGGTTATAAAGAGCCTTTATCAATGAATAAACTGGGAACTATTTATTGAATGTCTACCTTTCCAGCTTTAAAAAGAAGTAGACAGACAAAACCCCTGTGCTAGAGAGTTCCCCATTTATAGTACAGTAGGGAAAGCACTAATTATGAATCACTATGAGCCTTCAATTCACCTTTCAAACTGTGCACAGATACTGATTTCCTCTGTAAACGCAAATATATTCTTTTATTATAGACATCATTTTTTGAGTACTCATAAGGAGTACTTTAGGTCTGTACATGGACAAGAAATACTCTGGTTTCTAAGACTATGTAAAGTATTTTGTTTTCCATTTCAGTTTTTCTAACATACCCTCCATGGTTCTGTTCATCCTGTTGGCATTTTCTGTCACATTTTGTGACAGTTTTGCGTTACTGTTTGCTGTTGTCCTTCCCACTCATTCCTCTTTGTCACAGCCTGGTCATCTGGGTTTTCCCATTTTCCCTTTCCTGGCTTCTTATCCACTTGGGGGACTAATGTTAGCACTTCCTCAAAAGTTAGGTATTCAACAAATATAACTCATCAGCCTTTCTGTTCTTTAAGCTTTGTGATGAGCTTCAGATCTTCACTCTAACAATATTCTTTATGAATGCTATTCAGAAATAATATCTTCAAGAAGTTATTTCTTAAGGGTTTTTGTCAGAAGAATATTGCATTACAAAACTGATAAAAAGACACATAAATCTAAAGAAATGTATAACTCAGCAAAGGGTGCTTTTACTGTATTGTCAACTCCCACCATGAAAAATATTGGATTCTGCAAGAATACTGTTAAAACAATTTGATATGGGACATTAGTTTATGTACGTAATGGTTAGATCAAAAAATTAAAGTGTTGATTCTTTTATATTGAATTAAAATTTATATGACACATTAAGTTTGAAAAGTTAAAATGTAAATGATATAGTTAAGTATTCATTGGCATACCTATTACATTTGTCATGAAATGTATATTTAAGAATCAAACTATATGTGAGTCTATTAGATGCTATCAGGCAAACTGCCATCTATGATCCATAATCAATTCTTCTACACTTTTAACTCAAAGACAATTATGTAACACTTAGGAGATTTTAATTTTCCAAATGTTCTCAGAAAAAATTATCAGAATTATATTCCTCGTAAAAAACACAGTTGCATAATCCATTTGCCACAAATGAACTCCTTAATTGTGTTGTGAGGCAGCAGTCAACTATTACATGACTTTCTATGGTGGTGGTACTGCGCATTCAAAATCACTTCTTCAAGTGAAGAGTATGAACAAGAAGAAGGAACAAAAGAGTCCTCTTTCATTGTTTCATTGATTTTTGGTGTTTTCATTGTATGTTAAATGCCTGATTTCACCTTTACAACCAAAATAAAAATAGCAATTTTTATTCTGAAAGGTAACTGTATGGTCTCAATACCAGGCATTAGAAACTCCATGTCTAGGGATAATTTGCAGTTCTGAACCATACTTTAGAAAAACATTTCCAGCAGTCTGTACAGAATTTATCCTATTCCACCGCTAGTAATAATTGCACTTGTTGCTGCAGGAACCTTAAATTCTTCAGCTGCAAACTTTAAGACTGCTGTGAAAGGTGTACTTTCAGGAATACTGAGTACTTTGCAGGGCAGTAGTGGGTCCGATGTCAGTGTGATCTTAAAGGAAACCTTTCACATGGTGGACCCGGCCTAGACAGACATGCCACCCTAACTTGGCCAACCTGCCCACTTCCTGGGGAATAAGCACCTTGTCTTTGAAGTATTATGAAATATGAAACATATAGGCAGTTATGGAGAATAACTAAAAATATGTATTCAATTATTAATATGTAATTTAAACAAATATTACATTTAGCCATATTTCTTTAGTTGTCATTTTATTGATGGATAAAACAAGAAAGATATACGCTTGATGTCTAATAATTTTCCTTCCCAATCTTATGCCTTTCCCTTTCCCAGCAATATATACCATCACAAATTAAATGTCTGACTGTGTAATGCCTTTTCTCTTATTATATATATATATGCATAAATGATATATATTTTAGCCTTGCAATTTCAAAGCTAGTCTATTTATTATTCTAAAATTTATTAGCCAGTGTTGTGATGAAATATTTCTATGTGATTTTTACGTAGATACAGTCAATTACTGCCACATAGAAACCCACTATACTAAATACTACGATATAGTCAGTGATGTCCTCTATTACATTGTTCTATTTTTGCTATTAAAACAATGCCTTGTTGTTCAATCTCATGAAAGTCTACTGGCATATTTTTAGATGAATATCTAGAAGGGAAATGTCTAAGTATCACTGAGTGCATAGACAGCTGAAACTTTACTAAATATTGTTGTTACTTTTTTTCTACTAGTAGTAGATGATTACCACTGCTCTAAACATTCACAAACAGATTTAATTACCAGATTTAAATTTTTATCATTCTTGTGAGTATGAAAAGCTAATTTATCATGTTTAATTGAAATTCTTTGATTACTAAAGTTACTAAAGGGTTACAAGAAATATTTTGGGGCATTTGAGTTTCTTCTAATGGGAGTTGCTTATTTATATATTTTGGTCATTTAGTCCCACACTTGACTGATGTCTGTGCCTTTACTCACTGAATTGAGTGGATTTATTCTAAAATAGTGACTCTCAAAGTATGATTCAGGAACCATGGAAGACCTTGACATTCAGAGTATGTGTGAGGATGTTCTCTTTTCAACGGTATGTCTGTGTCTTAACATACATACATTAAAATAAGATGGGGTGCAGAACCAATAATAGAATCCAGGTGGGGCAACCCCCTTTCCAGTCCCTCTTCTCTCTCTCTTAGGCAGAAGCTTTCTTTCTCCCAATAAATTTTCCCTACTCTTAACATCCATTGTTCCTAGAATTCATCTTCTATTTTAGAGAACATGAAATCATGTTTCAGATATCTAGTAGGTTTGGGAGTTACATCTCTTCCCCTATATCATTTTGGAGGTCTTCCACCGAGATTACTGGTTGGAGGTAAGAGTTTTCTTTCATAGGTTCTAACTTTGGTCTTTTTGCTTCATAGATTGTAACTTTTTGTTTCATAGGCTCTGGACATTTGTTTCATAGATTCTGATTTTTGTTTAATAAATTCTGGCCTTTGTTTTGGCTTTTGTTTCAAAAGTATCTTAATTTTAAGTTGTGTTTTAAATATTTACATTTCTTGTTTTTCTTATGGGTTGTCTTTTGTTAAAATTATATTTTATTCTTGTTTTGTATGTGTTGCATTTGGACTTAGTTGCTTAAAAATGCTGTAAAAAGAGTCTCTTATAAAATCATCTCAGATAAAGACAGTTCAGGCTTTTATCTGTCCCTCACAGAATGCCAAATGGTGGTTACTCTGCCAGCTAGCAATTGCCTTTAGGGCAGCTGCCAGTCTCAAAGCAGAGGACAGGTTTCTCCAGTTGTCCTCTGGTGAATCCCCACTCCCATTGATGCCAATAGCAGGTGGAACATTGACCAGATAGGCAATTGGGTTCCTTTCAGAGACAGATCTCTGATTGCATGGAACTAGCAGAAACTGAGGTGACAACTGAGGGGTCATGGCCAGGGCTACTCTCTGGCGGATACCCAAAGCTTCCTCAGAAGAAACTAGCTCCTGACAACCTGTCCGGGCAATTACCAGAAATCTCCACATCTCGTCCCTATCTGGACTCCTCAGTGAGGTGAAAGGGAAACTCTGTCAGTGATGATCAGATATCCTCTGTCTCTGAGTGGTCTGAAATGATGCCGTCAGAACCCTTTCTTAAGCCTCGGTTAAGAGTTGAGCTACAGGTTTGGACTGCTTTCTCTAATTCTAGTAAGACCTTTAGACAAATGTAGAAAATGAATCCGATAGATTAAAAGCTACCTGAACCTTTTCTCCCCCCTAGGCATGGGCTTTATCATTTATGTGTGTAGGGGAGAAAAATGCCTTTTCTGATAGGTAATGGACTTTGGAATGTTGACTGTGGACTTATAATTGCTATATGGTGATTTTTTGAGATGTTTAACCAGCTTGAGCTTTATTTGGGCCTTTTCTCTCTGCTAGTGAGTTTAAAACTCCCCTTAAACTTTTCTCCAACTTATTGGGAGTTCATTTGAGAATCCCTTGTAGTCAGATCACTCCTCCTTCCAGAAAGTCAGACTAAGGCAGCTTGAAACAACTGTTTTACACTAGGGAAAATAGCAATC